CAGTATATCTGCAGTGGAATGTAGGATTCTTCACTCTTAACATACACCCTTGGCAATTCTGAACTGGAAGGTCCATGGAAAATTATATATATATTGAGAGCCACTCATTTAAAACTTTTATTCAGTTGAAATCAAACCACTCTACTTTGTAATAGGTTCTGTCTCATGTAAATAATTTTTCTGTTTTGGTCTATATAATGGATATTTCTAAAATATATCCCAAACTTCAAGGAGTTCCTGGCTAGTAATAGTGTTGAAAAAGTTAAGCTAAAGACCCCATTCTTTTCTCAAGGCATTGGTGCAGTGTCGTGGAAAATAAATTCTTGATAAAACCCATTATCACCTTCTAATTTAGAGAAGGTGAGGTAAGGGCTGGTAAAAACAAATATGAGACATTTCAGATCCAAAGCCTGTGATCTGAAGCATAGTCTTCTCTGCCCTGGCTTTACTATAACTCATTATAATGCAGGACTACTCACTTGAAGTGGCAGGCAATCTCCATAATGTAAAAGGATAAATGCTAGAAGTGAAGGGGAGAGTTGAGAAGGAGATGATGATATTCCACCCCTCCCCAAAAGATCTGCACATTTGAATCCCAAGAACCTGTAAAGACATTACCTTATTGTGCCAAAAGACACATACAGACATGATAGGGGTGAGTTCTAAGATGGAAGCAGAGAGATGCTGTTATACTGCTGGCTTTGAAAATGGATTAAAAGGGCCATGAACCAAGGAAGAAAGGCAGTCAAGAAGCCAGAAAAAGGCAAAGAAACGCAATGTAGTTCTAATGATACCTTTTAGCCTTTGCAGACATGTATTGGACTTGTGACCTATAGAATGAAAATGAAATACATTTATATTGTTTTAAGTCATTAAGTTTGTAGTAACTGTTATAGTAGTAATAGAAAACAAATACAAGCCACATTCTGAAGGGAGTAGAACATATATAGTAGAAAATATGACATAAAATATCTAACATTTCTTTTATTTCACTCAGTTCCTCTCAAACAGCTGGTCCATGTCAAAAATGAAGAGTTCCTTCTGGAATAAAGGAGGAATCCTCCAAATGGGAAAGTTCAAGTCCTAATAAGGATTCTATATCTAGACACACTGTACACATAGTCTACAAGCCAGACAAAATAAAAACAGAAACAAAAAAGCTGTGACCTAAGGTAATGGGTTAATAAACAAAAAAATAACTATGCAGACACAAATGTTCTTCTACTCATACTGCCATGATTTCTTAAAGAGAGAGTGTTATAGGCTGAACTGTGTTCTCAAAATTCATATATCAAAACTCTAATGCCTATTAGCTCAGAATATACTGCAGACTTAGAGATAGGCCTTTAACGAGGCAATTAACTTAAATGTGATTATTATAGTTGGACTTAATCCAATATGAGTGATGTCCTTATAAGAGGAAGAAATTAGGAAATAGGCATACACAGAAGGCGGCCATGTAAAGACACCTGAGGAAGATGGCCTTCTACAAGTCAAGGCAAAAAACTTACGTGAAACCAAGCCTGCCAACACCTTGGTCTCAGACTATTAGTCTCCAGAACTGTGAGAAAATAAAATTCTGTTGTTTAAGCTACTCCATGTATGGTACTATAAAACAGTCTAACTATTAGATCATGTAAATATGAAGGAATCCTCTAAGACCTAATAATGTCCAGGCAATCATGGAGAGGACACAAGGAACACCTAATCTACTTTTGGTCAAATAACAAGCCTAGATGATGCTCAATTATTCCGGGAAAATAGACAAATAATACACACAATTTATATCAAAAGATTATGCAACAGCAAAAAAAAAAAAGAGGAGGACAAGGAAGAATTAAATATGCTCTCTTGAGAGACAACTGAAGAAAATTTACATCATATAACAGAAGTAGATTTTACAATTGTTTAGATTTTAGCAATGGTTTCATAAGTAAATTAAAGAAAATGTAGACTGTGAAATAAGAGACAAAAAACAAGATGAAAATATGAACATCTACTGAATTTACTGGTTAGTAAATTAACTCAAAAGAATTAAGTGTTTTTGTTTTTGTTTTAGGAACAGGATCTTGCTCTGCARGCTGACATCCATCTCCTTGGGTTTAAGTGATCCACCAGCCTCAGCCTCCAAGTAGCTGAGACTATAGGTGTACATCACCCTGCCTGATTTGAAGAAGAGAACACTTTTATGGCTCAATTTCTGTGTCTTTTTTCTTTAAATTTCCTATGAAAAGTTGCAGWTTTAAAGGTAGTTAGGCAAATATGACTTTATAGAGAATGAGAACTAATTCTTTTCTATTCTCATTGTTACTAGGCACAAAATTTATGATTAGAGAGGAAACTGCTTATAATTTGCATTTTAAAAGCATCTAGTTTTAATTCAAACATCTAGTATTGTTAGGTTATTCTGAATAAGAAACTAAGTGGTGTTATCCACCCTTTTATATTTTTATTATGAAGTGTAACACTAAGTAAAGATTCACAAAGTAATGAGATTAAAAATCAGTGCAGGAACATTCTAACTAAAAGGATAAATGAAAATAAAATTTCAGGATGAATGAGAAAGCTACAAGTTGGCAACTCGGTTCATTCAAGTTTTTTTTCTATCTTCTATCACATGTGACTTAAAGACCATAAACCTTAACAAGAAAAGTGATGCAGTAGGCATCACAATCCCAGGCCTTAAATTATATTACAGAGATATAGTAACACAAATGGCATGGTATTGGCACAAAAAACAGACATGAATACCAAAGAACAGAATAGAAGGCACAGAGACAAACCCACATAAATACGGTTATATCATACTAAACAAAGGTGCCATAAGCATTCACTGGAGAAAAGATAGCTTCTTCAACAAATGGTACAGGGAAAACTGGAAATCCATACTAGAAGATTGAAAGTGAACTCATTTCACCCTACACAAAACTCAACACTAAGTGGAACAAGGACCTAAACATTAGACCAGAGACCCTGTTTCTACTAGAAGAAAAAGTAAGTCCAATTCTACATGTCAGCTCAGGAACCAACTTCCTCAATAAGACTCCTAAAGTGCAAGAAGTAAAATCAAGAATCAATAAACAGGATGGTAAAAAGCTTCTTCACAGCAAAGAAAACAATCAAGAGCATGAACAGAGAACCAATAAAATTGGAGAAAATCTTTGCCACCTCCACCTAAGATAGAGCATTAATCTCCAGGAACACAAATAACTCAAAAAAGTTAACACCAAAAAATAAAAATCCACAAGTTAATAATGGTCAAAAGAACTGTACAGGCACTTCACAGAAGAAAAAATATGAATGGTCAACAAATATATGAAAAAATATTCAACATCTCTAGCAATTAGAGAAATGCAAATTAAAACCACACTGAAATTCCACCTCACTCGAGTCAGAATAGCAATTATTAAAAATACAAGTAACAATAAATGTTGGCAAAGATGTGGGGTAAAAGGTTCACTCATACATTGCTGGTGAAACTGCAAATTGGTGCAGCCAATATGGAAAGCAGTATGGAGATTCCTTGGAAAACTGGAAATGGAACCACCTTGTGACCCAGCTATCCCACTCCTCCTACTATACCCAAAGGACTTAAAACCAGCATACTACAGAGACACAGCCACATCAATGTTTATAGCAGCACAATTCACAATAGCTAAACTGTGGAACCAACCTATATGCCCTTCAGTAGATGAATGGATAAAGAGAATGTGGTATATGTACACAATGGAATATTATTCAGCATTAAAAGAGAATAAAATCATGGAATTTGCAGGTAAATGGATAGAGTTGGAGAATCTAATGCTAAGTGTAGTTAACCAATCCCAAAAAAACAAATGCTGAATATTTTCCTCTGATAAAGGAGGCTGATTCATAGTGGAGTTGGGAGGGAGAACATGAGAGGATTAGATGAACTCTAGATAGGGCAAAGGGGTGGGAGGGGAAGGGAGGGGCAGAAGGGTAGAAAAGATGGTGGAGTGAGATGGACTATACTTTGTATACAACCATAGATATGAAAAATTTTGCTCTATATGTGTAATATGAATTGTAATGCATTCTGCTGTCATATATAATAAATTAGAATTTTTAAAAATGTGATATATATAACAAATTAGAATTTTAAAATGTGATATATATATATATACACACATACATATACACACACACACACACATACACACACAATGGAATATTACTCAGCCATAAAGTAAAATGAAATTATAGCATTTGCTAGCGAATGGATAGAACTAGAAAATATGATGCTAAGTGACATAATCCACTCCCAAAAAACTAAAGGCTGAATGTACTCTCTGATATGTGGATGTTAACGCATAACAAAGGAGGGTAGGGAGGGGAAGAATAGAAATTAATTAGATTAGACAAAAGGGAATGAAGGGAAGGGAGGGGGAATGGGAATAGCAAAGACAGTACAATGAAAGTCAGGTATAACTCTCCTTTCCTCATACATGAATACAGAACCACTGTTAACTCCACATTATGTGCAATGACAAGAATGGGATCATAATTGGAATGCTTTGTACTCCATGTATATATTGTCATGTATATATAAAACAAACAAACAAAAATCCTCTACCTCAGGTTCAATACAGACTTTAGAATAAGATTTTGCACTGATCATATTTAGTAAGTCCTATGGTTATTTTCTGCATAATGTGAAAACAATAATTTAAAAAACAAACTATAATATCTTAAAGAAACACACACACACTCACACACACACATAGTATGCACTTTTCAAAGCATCATAAAACACCAAGGGAGCTGATAAAAGAGTAAACACATTATAAATGGAGAAAGGAGAACAGAGAGAATAATTTTCTCATAAAGGTTGAGGGCCAGATTTGAGCAGAGAAGGAGAACCAAAAAAAAAAAAAAAACCCAATAAATTTCATAAAATAACTCATAGAATAAACTCAAAATGCAAGAATTGGTGCCATTTTTTAAGGTACATAGCTGTCTTATAAACCTAAAATATTTACCTCATTTTCTGTACCCACATCCAGAATGATAGGCAGACACTGTTGAGGATCTACTCCTCCACAAGCTGTATATAGTGCCAATTTACCCACAGGGATGCCCATTCCATTACAGCCAAGATCTCCCAGGCCAAGAATACGCTCTCCGTCAGTCACCACAATAGCCTAGAGAAAAAAAGAAAAATAATCTATTATGAGAGTTTTCCAAATTCTGGGACACAACTTCCGGTCTCTTTTTCTTAAATTAATATTAAAAATTAAGCTGTTAGAAAACAAACAGAGGCCAGCTTTGGTGGCGCATGCCTGTAATCACAGCAACTTGAGAGGCTAAGGCGGGAGGATCACAAGTTTGATGTCAGCCTCAACAATTTAGCAAGGCCCTATGCAACTTAGCAAAACCCTGTCTCAAAATAAAAAATAAAAAGGACTGGGGATATGACTCAGTGATTAAGCACCCCTGTATTCAATCACTGGTGCCAAAAAAATAAATAAAAGAAAACATAAATTTAATATATCTGGAAAAATTTTGTAATGGCTATTGTGCAAGACTGGGGAAAAATAAATTTAAACACATTTAAATATTTTATATATGCATACTTAATTAGGTTACTGAAGAACGAAGAGAAGGTATACACATAAAGATTCAAAGATTCCAAACAATTTAGTCTTCAATTAAGAGGGGCAAATGGAAAAAGTACAGGGAAATAAGAGCTCAGATTGGGAATCAAAGTGAAATTTAGGTTGGCTTTGAAACTAGTCATATTCATTTTGAGTACAATTACAGTACAGTGCTCAAAGTTAAGTACTACATGATTGCTAGATAAACTGAAGAAGTTATGACTCTCTCTGAAATGCTCTGATGTTAATTTATATATCCTGGCACCATTCTTCTGTTTTCTCATAATTTTGACCCATCCTCTTTATTCCTATAACCTCTTTTTTTGTTTGTTTTTGGTTTTGTCTTAATTTTTAAAAATACTTTTATTTTATTTATTCATTTTTATGTGATGCCAAGGATCAAACCCAGTACCTAGTACATGCTAGGCAAACGCTCTACCACTGAGCCACAGCCACAGCCCCTCCTTGATATAGTTCCACTATCTTTGAAACATGGCCAGTATTGTCTGCTACATCTATAACCTGATTATCTTCCATTAGACTTGGTCAATTTTGTTTGGCTTATTTCTAATTGCCTTGAGTGTTTATGAAGCATACACATAATTATGTGGAGAATTTGTCCTATATAATTTAATATCATCATATGAATTAATGTACCTAACATGTTTGTTCTGTGATTTGTGGCCATTAATTGAATTTAAGCAAAACTAAATTTTTTTTCTTTCCCTGAACCAGAAAACCCAGGGTGCTCTACCACTGAACTATATCCCCAGCTCCTTTTTTAGTTTTATTTTGAGATAGGGTTTCACTAAGTTTCCGAGGCTAGTCTCAAACTTGTGATTTTCTTGTCTCAGGCTTCTGACTAACTGGAATTACAGGTGTGGCCCACCACTCCAAGCTTAAGCAGAGACTAATCCTATGAAAAACAATTTTACAAAATGCTACACTCATATTATCCATGAAACTTTGAAAATATCAATTATTTGTCTTGGATAAAACAGTGATTTAAACTTGTTTCTTTGTAAAATGGGAATCATAAATGTACTTTGCAGAGTAGCAGTATAAAATTAGGAACCAACTCTTTTGCTCATCACTGTACACTAGCATCTAGCACAGCACGTAGCAAACAATAAAAAAGCAATAAGTATGTCGATTGAATAAATCTATAATTCCATAAAATGAAATCTTGATACATAAAAAATTTACCACAGTACCTAATACACTACAAATTCTAAATACATATGTATGTATACACATATATGTATATATAGCTATTATTACTATAATCAGAACTAATGCATATAGTCAGCATTTTAGAAGTAAGGAGGAATCTAGAGTACATTCTTTCTACTCCTCTAATTTTACAGATTAGGAAAATGAAGATCCCGGAACTGAAATAATTTGCTCAAAATGAGTTACCTAATTAGCATCAAAGGACTAGAACCTGGGTATTTTCACTCTTAGTACAGTGCTTTTCCACCCTACTATGTTGCAGAATATATTTTTAAATACACTCTTGAGCTCTATTTAATATCCTATTTACCTATATTATGCCACTTTTTATAAATTACTTTAAAAGTAATCATATTGGACAAGTAAGAATTATTTTTACATATTGTACATAGTTCACCTTTGAAAAACTTTTCCCTAACTGCAATGAGTTATGGAAAAATATTGGTTATGCTTTTTTGGAGAAGAGAATCTGGTATCACTAGACTAACTCAACTCTGACTTACAGTAAAAAAGATAAAACAATAGGGCTGAAGTTGTAGCTCAGTGCTAGAGTGCCTACCTCATATGTACGAGGCATTGGGTTCAATCCTCAGCACCACATAAAAATAAATAAATAAATAAATAGGCATGCATACAAATAAATAAATAAAATAAAAAGGTATTATGTTCATCTTCAATTAAAATATTTCTAAAAATATAAAACAAATATTAGAGAACTATAACTTTGTTTTTTAAATTAAACTCAACTTTGCAATCTCCATATACTTCATATGTATATTTAATAGATATTGTTTTATTTATTATTATCACAGAGGTACTTTTATATATCATTGATAATACTTTTGTGAATGTGTCCCTTATACAAGAAAATTCCAGTTAGCCTGTCTATACTTATACATATTTTTATGCTTTATAAGAAGAGTACCACTGTAATATAAATTAATTATGGCCTGAATAATTTAAATATTACATTACAGGTTTTATTAAACACACTTAAACTCAAGAGTGTTGCATCTTATCATTTTTTGCAGTTTCAAATTTTTTGAAAAATGTATTTTAAGAAATAAAAACCTTTTGTTTGTTTTTTAAGGATTTTTTTGTTTTTCTTCATTTTTTTATTTGTTCTTGTTAGATATACAGGACAGGTAGGGTATATTTTGACATTCATTCATTTTTCATAGTACATCTATGTTAAATTAAATGTATGTCTTGATCTGGGTGTGTGGCTCAATGGTAGAGCTCTTGCCTAGCATATTTGAGCACTGGTTTGATTCTCAGCACGACATAAAATAAAATCAAGATATTGTGTCCTTCTCAAAGTAAACATAATTTTTAAAAAAGATATGTATGTCTTAAAGTCAAAAGAATCATTATTTTCCATTTTTCATAACGTTTATTCTCTAACCTGTTCTCTCATCTAGCACTATTATTTATATAAAATACAAGACATAAATTACATATAAATAGTAGTTTGAAAAGTTTTTTAAATAGGTTTAGAGGCATTTACTGTTTTATCTTAGTTTATGCCTTTTATAAGAAACATACATTAATATCATTAATTTATAAATATTTCAATATTAAAGAGTACATTTGAGTAGTGAAAAAATTCTGAGATAAAATGTGTTTGTCATATAGGCAGTTTATCATTAAATTAGCATTCTCTTGCTCTTGATTTTACCAACTTTGTCTCCTCTTAAGAAAAATAAAGCAGTTAGATATTTTTTATAAAGTAATCAAGTCACATAATCAGGATTCATCTCAATAAGACAACCACAATTTTATCAATGAAATCTATGTTTCAGAAATCACCTCTCCACCCCAAAATATAAAGTACTATCTGGGAAATACCTCCTTAGAAACTATTAGCATGAAATACGGAGGCACTCTTCCTGCCTTTATCCTTTCTTTTCCTTCCCAGAGCCTGTTTCCCACCTAGCTCACTAAATATAGAACCCTTCCTCTTTTCTTGCTCTCTAGAAACCCTGTGGGGTTTTTATTTTGTTCCTGGTAAGCAGAGTTCTCTCTACTTCCTAATTGACTTGTTCTGAACTGCTTTCCTCTGCCACACCCTTTATGATGTTTTGCCTTACCTAGGGCTCAGAGCAATGGAGTCAGCCAACTATGGACTCAGACCTCTGAAACCATGAAGACAAAAAATCTGCAACTTGTACTCAATTTTTTTTCCTCTTCTAAAATTGTTCTTGTTAGGTCTTTTGGTTGCAGCAACAAAAAAGCTGACAGAAACAATGGTACTTGGGATTGAACCCAAGGGTACTCTACCACTAAGCTACATCCACAACACTTTCTATTTTGAGACAAGAGTCATGCTGAGTTGTACAGGCCGGCCTCTAACTTGAGATCCTCCTGCCTCAGACTCCCAAATTGCTGGGATTATAGGTGTGTGCCTTCATTCCTAATTGACTTGTTGATTTGTAAAATCCTCTAAATTTCTAGTTAAAATGTAAATAGCCTTTTTAGATGATCACACATTTTTTCTTTACAAAATTAACACATTTCTTAGAATAGCTGAGAAGAACAGGATCCGTGGACAGGTCAATCTGGAAGGTAGAAGAAAAGTTGAAGGAGCAACTTAGGTGGGGAAAATGAAAACAGTGGGGAGATTAGAAATAGTGAAAAATACTTAATGAGGTTGACTAGCAAAAGCCTTAGAGAGACAAATTAAATGATTCCAGCCACAAATGCTTGGACAAAATCATTAAAGGAGTCACTTGAAAAGCCAGAGCAAACAGAAGCTCTCCTCTAAAAAATATTGATTTCTTTAATCTTAATCCTAAAAGACATAACATTGCTTGGCATCCCACAGAAAGGAAAACTAGAGCCAAACGGAGAACAAATATACCTCATCTCCCTTAGACAAGGAAAGTGTTTTAGGATTATGTTTAATATCAGAGCCTCTGGGGGACAGATCTGCAACTTGTACTCAATTCCCCCCAGATCACACATTGCTCATGCATTAACAAGTAACCTATAGGTGCCTTCCCTCACTTAATTATCATGATAATTGTAAGAGGTAATCCATTACAAGGTTTCACACACAAAGCTACCAAATGTCAGATACTACTATTACTTTTATTGTCATTAGCTCACACAAAGAAAGAAGTCGGATGAGCTACTTACTTACTTAATCTGAATTAACAGATTTCTTTTGGCAACTTGGATCCTCTAAGTGGATGGTTAAATGCAGCACATAAGAGTTTGCTTAAGGAAATTCAGATGTATCTTCAACATATATATTATCACTTATAATAAACAAAGAAATACTAAGAAACGAGACACAAAGAATAAGGAAACAGTACTAAATAGATTCAGAATAAAATTAATCCATTATGCAAAATTCAAAGGGCTATAAATTGATTCCCACTGAAAAATTCAGTGAATGCTACCTAATACCATGAGAATTATCAGTATGATCTAACTATTTCAGGGGACAGAAAAGAGAACAAATAAATTGCCTCAATGGAAAAATTTGACAACTTACTTTGATGACATCTTCTGGCCAAGCATTAAGAATTGAAGCAATATGCCCTCGATCATGGATACTAATAAAGAGACCTCTGAGAAGAAAAAGAAAGGTAATTTTAATTTTCTTAGGCCTGTCAAACTATACTGGACATTAATATTTTTAAAGTTTATTAATATATATCAATTGTGATTAAACTAGTGAAAATTATTTCTTTTAAAAACTAAGAGCTAGGAGTCTTATAAGTAAAAACGAAGGCACTTTAATATATTGACATCTACATTTTAAGGTAAGTTTATTCTTTGCGGGGGGGGGTCAAACACAGGGGTGCATTACTACTAAACTATATCTCCTTTTTTTCTTTTTTTTTGAGACAGGGTCTCACTAAGTTGCTGAGACTGACCTCAAACTTGTGGTCCTCCCTCCTTAGCCTCCCAAATTGCTGGGATTACAGGCATGCATCACAGCATTCAGATAATTATTTAAAAATATCTAACAAACATTTTTAAATATATAGCATATTTTAAATATTTTCATTAAATAATTCACTACTTTCACACAGAGAATTTAAGGAGCATTATCTATACCACCAATAGATTCTTTTAGTCTTTTATTGAATAATATATACAAAAGCATTTTTAAAAATAACATGAAGCACATCTAAATAGGTATTTCCAGCATATATTCCATTTATTACATTTTCACACATGCAGATGATAACATGTATGGCTAAGGGCTAGAGTTGTGCTCAGTGGTAGAGTGTTTACCTAGCACTGGGTTCCATCCTCAGCACCATATTGAAAGAAGAAAGAAAGAAAGAAAGAAAGAAAGAAAGAAAGAAAGAAAGAAAGAAAGAAAGAAAGAAAGAAAGAAAGAAAGAAAAGAAGGAAGGAAGGAAGGAAGGAAGGAAGGAAGGAAGAAAGAAAAGAAAGAAAGAAAGAAAGGCATTGTGTCCATCTACAACTATAAATAAATAAATAAATAAATAAATAAATAAATAGGCTAAAATGACTTACTAATGCTGAACAGTTCCTTCATGCAAAGCCCACTTGATTCTTTCATTTGTGGCTTGAGATGGTATTTGCAATTCATGCTATTTAAACTCTCACCTGTAGTCTTTAAACTACCTGCCCTCTCCATGTCCTATGAAAGCTTTACAAGTAACTTCACAGATTAAAGCACAGAAATCTTTTAAAAATGCAAATACGTTATCCTCATTTAAAAATTTCACTTTACATACTATGGTTATATTTGCATTCCCATATTTATAGCAGCATAATTCACAATAGCCAAATTACAGAACCAACCTAAGTGTCCATCAACAGATGGCTATATAAACAAAATGTGAGATGCATAATATACACAATGGAACTTTATTCCACCATAAGAATAAAATTATGTCATTTGCAGGAAAATGGATGGAACTAAAGAACATTATGCTAAGTGAGATTAACCAGACTCAGAAAGTTATGGGTCATATGTTTTCTCTCATACAAGGAAACTAGAGAGATAAAAGGGAAAGAAAATGGACCTCAGAATATAAAACAGAGACCAACAGACTAAAAGAAGGGTCTGGGGAAGTAACGAGGAAGAGAGGAGAGGAGATAAAGTAAGAGTATGAGGGAAAGAAACAGATCAAATTGAGAGTGGTACATGTATAAATATAGCACAATGAATTCCATTATTATATGAAACTATAATGCAGCAATAAAAAGTAAATTTTTAAAGTTTTGCTTTAGTATTTTTATAACTCAAAACAGTACAACAAATGTATAGTTTAATGAACTGTTATAAGATAAACACCTTTTTACATAATGCCAGTTTAATCAAGGGCAATTTTGCCAGCTACTCAGAAACCATCTGTTTTTCTCCCAATCAAAAACTCTTCCCTTCTAAGAGTGACCACTCTCTTAACCTTTGTGGTATAATTTCCTTGATAGTCAATAGTTTTATCACTCAAATCATACAATATCCCTATGCATTGTTGTTTTAATTTGTCCAATAGAGTTGGCAATAATCTAAATTTTGCTGATAACATTCCTATGATATAGAATAGCATGTTACTCTTTTTCAGCATTTCTTGAAAAATTTTTAATTGGATCCAGAGACAATATGGTTCATGTTCAATTTTTTGTGCAAGACACTTAATGGATTCATCTTACCTGAAGAGACGGTAATTGGAAGTCCTTTTTGTGACGTTAGCAGTCACTGATGCTTAATGTTTAAATTCACTAATTCATTAGTGTTTACAAAAGGATGAGATTCCAATTCTATCATTCATTATTTGTATACTGGAAATTTCTTTGAAGAGAAATTATGCCATATTTGGTTCCCCAAGGGTATAGTTGATATAGGAAAAAGTAAATGCTTGAATCTCTCTTTATCAGTTTTTAACTGATAGAGGTAGTTTACTAGAATTCTTCAAGGATTTCCACTTAGTTATTATTGGTGGAAGTATTATATGGGTATATAATTATGTGCTGACATATACATGTGTGTCTGTGGGCTTTTAAAATATTTATGTTTTAGTTGTAGTTGGACACAATACTTTTATTTTATTTATTTATTTTTATGTGGTGCTGAGGATAGAACCCAGGGCCTGCACATGCAAGACAAGCACTCTACCACTGAGCTACAACCCCAGGCCCTGTGGTTTTTTGGTTCTGCTTTTTTGGGGACCAGCATAAACTCAAGGTTTAAATATATTTGATGTGTTTTAATTCATCATATATATTTTCTTTATTGATACTCAAATTGTTCTATCTTTCTCAAGCAGAAGAATCATGTTGTCTTGAATCCTTTTGATATGTATGTATAAACTACAATAGGTAGTTTTTAATAACTTGCTTGGTTTCTATTATAATAAGATGTTCTAAATTAATTTTGAAAATGTTCTGCCCCAGGCCAAAAATAAGTTATTCCTCTAAGAAGCCCAGGGTTCTCTAAGCAGAGAAGTGTTTATTCAAAACCACAACCTAAGTAATAGTGATGTCTACTGTTACTATTTGACCAAAACGTTGTTAGGAAAAAATTTTAAAAAAATGTTTATAAGATTGACTTTCTATTGATTCTCAGGTTGGCACTTTTCCCAAGTATTCCTCTATTATTTCTTAGCAAATTCTATTGATCGCTCTCCAAGAGGACCAGTTTATACCTCTCCTTTCTGCTCACATCTTCTACATCCATACCCCTCACTTTTAGTTGACAACCTAATCTTAAATTTCAAATAGAAATAGATGCAGTAGGATGAAAACTACCTCATCTTTCTAACATAAATTTTATAAATGCATATGCATTCTTTTTTACATCCTCACCCTTCCCTCTGGTTATAATCTCCCTAACATTTTTAAGGTACTTCTCTTATGCTCCAGATCCTTCCCATCTCAGCTTTTCAAAGGCTTTACTCCTGCAATTATCCTATCCCTAAACTGCACCACTGCTTTCTCTACTGGATCAAGTTTATTGACATAAAAATCTGTCCTAACATTATCCATATCTTCAAAAGATTAAATTTTGTCCCTTATTCTCTCCTTCATAGCAAAGCTCCTAAAATTATTTGCATATTCTTATTTATCTGTATTTATATCTCCCATCCTTCTTCAATCTATCAGTAAAGCTTTTCTCCCCACACCACTCCCTCAACTCTTACCAAAGATATTGATGACTGACCCTGAGTACAGATAAAGGTCGCTCTCAACTTTCATCTTCCCTGACTTCTGCATTGTTGACTTTGCCCCTTCTTGAAACACTTTGCAGTCTCTGTGATACTAAATTTGCCTGGGTTTCCTCCTGATCACTGCCTGCTACTTCTCAGGACCTTGGCTGCTTCTTCCTCCTCTAATAGTCTTCTGGTTGTTGAACTGTTCTAAGGTTCTACAGTCCATCTCTCTTTTCCATCTATACTCTCTTGATATATCTCAACCAGTTTCATAGTCCTCTCCTTTGAGCTACAAACTATAAAACTACCTACCTACTTAAGTCTTTCTCATCATTCAGGCCTCAGCTCAGACCTCAGTTCCTTAGACAGGGCTTCTCTGATAACAGGAGTCAAAGCACCTCCACCACACCATTTTTATCATCTTCATAATACATAAATATCTGAAATTATCTTATGTATTTGTTCATGTTTATTGTCTGTCTCTTCCCTGGCAACACCCCTGGTGTGTATATGTGTGTATACACACACACACACACACTCACACCCAAAGCAGTAAGGTCCTTAAGTACAGAGACTCTGATTTAGTTATATTGGTATCCCAATGCCGTATGTTGGCATACAGGATTTATCTGACAATATGTATTAACTTCAATGCTCAAAAATAAGGCTTTTATAATCAAAAATTTTAAAAGAACAGAAAACATAAGATAAATGTTGACTTACATTGACTTAGTAAGTCACCATAATTTTTTAAATATTTATTTAGTTGTAGATGAACACACAGTATCTTTACTTATGTTTATGTGGTACTGTGGATTGAGCCAAGTGCCTCACATATGCAAATCAAGCACTTTACCACTGAGCTACAGCCACAGCCCCAAGTCACCATAAATTTTATCATGACAGTAAGCACTCTTAGGAAGGATACTGATGACTGTCTAATCCAATAAGAACATAAATTAAGTTGACACTAAGTTATATCCTTTCCTGGTTTTCTTGCTGTATCATATAAATTTATTGTTCCTCCATAATGAGAATAAGCTCTTTATAAATTATACATTTATCCCTGTCATAGTCAAATTGACTCTAGGTGACCAGCAGGATCTCAATGTACAACTATAAATTTGAAATTCTTAAGGAAAGAATTTATGTTGAATTACATTAAGAAGGACTTGGCAATATAATATTAAATAATATTTCTTGGGAACTTGTCAGCCACAGTTTTCCAAGTGACACTGGTTTCAGGAAACAATTATGTTTTAGTGAGGGACAACAAATGATACCAAAATTAACACCAATTAAATGCCAAGATTTATTATATAACAGATCTGAGCTCAGCTTCAATGAAAGAGCCATTTGGCCACTTATAATCTCTTGCACAAAGTAGAAATACATTCATAGCAAAATGTTTACTCTTGAAGATGATTCAGTAAGTC